AGCAGCGGCGGCAGCGCCGCCGCGAAGGCAGCCGCGCGGCGGCGGCGGCTGTAGCGGCTGTGGCGCCGCCGGCCGCCTCCAGCCGCCCAGGCGCCAGCCCCCAGGGGGAAGGCAGCGGCGGCGGCGGCGAGGCTCGCCGCCGGCCGCCGCCGCCACCGCCGGCCGCCGCCGCCTCCCGCGCGCCGGCCTCCTGGGTGGAGGCGGCGGCGGCGGCGGCGGCGGGAGCAGCCGCGGCCGCGGCAGGCGGCAGCCCGGCGCGCGCGGCGGCGGCCAGGCGCTGCCGCCGCCGCAGGGCGGCGCCCGAGGGGGGCGAGGCCATCGCGTGGCCGGCCCGGCGCGAACCTGTCCAGGGGCGGGCTCGAGCCGAGACGGCTTGAGCCAAGGGCTTGAGCCAGAGGGGGCTACGGACTCTGGTGTGGATACGCGAAGCATCAAACATTTCTGTCGATATTCTCAGGGCCCCGTAAACCCGTACACGCTACCCGGGACTCTCAACATCCCTCGGAACCGATTTTTCCAGACGGCAGCACGAACAAAATACTGCAATACAACACTTCCAGAATAAACCCAGACACAGCCTTTAAAGCCTGCAAAACCCACGAAACCCGGACACAAACCCGAATCCTGTAGTGCAACAGACAATTATCCCGGCAAAGCAACCTAACAGCCATGTGTAGGAGCCGGCCAGGGCAGCCGGCCGCCCTCCCCTCCTGCTCGTCCTCCTCCTCCTCCTCCTGCTCGTCCTCGTGCTCCTCCTGCTCGTCCTCTCGTCCTCCTCCTCCTCCTCCTGCTCTCCTCGTGCTCCTCCTGCTCTCCTCTTTCTCCTGCTCCTCCTCCTCCTCCTCCTCCTCCTCCTCCTCTCCTGGTTCCTCCTGCTCCTCCTCCTCCTCCTCCTCCTCCTCCTCCTCCTCCTCCTCCTGGTGGTCCTCGTTCTCCTCCTCCTGGTGCTCTCCCCCCCCCTCCTCCTCCTCGTCCTCCTCCTCCTCCTCTCCTCCTCCTCCTCCTCTCCTCCTCCTCCTCCTCCTCCTCCTCCTCCTCCTCCTGGTAGTCCTCCCCCTCCCCTCCTCCTCCTCCTCCTCCTCTTCCTGGTCGCCCTCGTTCTCGTCCTCCTCGTCTTGCTCGTCCTCCTCCTCCTGGTGTTCTCTCCTCCTCCTCCTCCTCCTCCTCCTCCTCCTCCTCCTCCTCCTCCTCCTCCTCCTCCTGGTGGTCCTCGTTCTCCTCCTCCTGGTGCTCTCCCCCCCCCTCCTCCTCCTCGTCCTCCTCCTCCTCCTCCTCCTCGTCCTCCTCCTCCTCTTCCTCCTCCTCCTCCTCCTCCTCCTCCTCCTCCTCCTCCTGGTAGTCCTCCCCCTCCCCTCCTCCTCCTCCTTCTCCTCTTCCTGGTCGTCCTCACCCTCCCCTCCTCCTCCTCCTCCTCCTCCTCCTCTTCCTGGTCGTCCTCCTCCTCCTGGTCCTCCTCCTCCTCCTGCTCGTCCTCCTCTTCCTCCTCCTGCTCGTCCTTCTTTTCCTGCTCCTCCTGCTCCTCGTCCTGCTCCTGCTCGTCCTCGTCCTCCTGGTCTTGCTCGTCCTCCTCCTCGTCGTGCTCTTGCCCCTGCTGAGAGTGTGGCCCAGGAATGGGAGTTCTGGGAAGTCGAAGAGCACGAAGTTGCCTACAGTTGGCTATGGGCATTCAAAATGTGGCCCGGGAATGGAGTTCTGGGGACTCGAAGAGCACGAAGTGGCCTACAGTTGGCTACGGGCATTCAAAATGTGGCCCGGGAATGGAGTTCTGGGGACTCGAAGACCACGAAGTGGCCTACAGTTGGCTCCGGGCATTCAAAATGTGGCCCGGGAATGGAGTTCTGGGGACTCGAAGACCACGAAGTGGCCTACAGTTGGCTCCGGGCATTTAAAATGTGGCCCGGGACTGGAGTTCTGGGAAATCGAAGAGCACGAAGTGGCCTACAGTTGGCTCCGGGCATTCAGAATGTGGCCCGGGAGTGGAGTTTTGGGAAGTCGAAGAGCACGAAGTGTGTGACTGTTGGTTTAAAATGAGTTCTGCGGCACCCTGTCCGGCACCCGCCTAGACCCCCCTGTGGAGTCATCTGCTGCTCTCTCTTGAGTCTTGTAGAAACCTATAAGTCTTCGCTGTTAGGTAACTACTAGAAACCTATCAGTCTTCGCTGTTAGGTAATTTTTCCGGCAAAGCAACCTAACAGCGATGTGTAGAAGCATATATGGAAACATTCCCCTTAAAATCCAGATGAGAATCCAGTTGTAGAATTCTCCTGTTCTCGCAGTCGCAGTCGCATTCGCGATGACAGTCGCAGTGGCAACGGCAGTCACAGTCACAGCCTCAGCCTCAGCCTGCCTCAGTATCAGCCTCAGCCTCAGCCTCAGCCTCAGCCTGCCTCAGCCTCAGCCTCAGCCTGCTTCAGCCTCAGCCTCAGCCACAGCCTGCCTTCAGCCTCGGCCTCAGCCTCAGCCTGCCTCAGCCTCAGCCTGCATCAGCCTCAGCCTCAGCCTCAGCCTCAGCCTCAGCATGCCTCCGCATCAGCCTGCCTCAGCCTCAGCCTCAGCCTGCCTCAGCCTCAGCCTCAGCCTGCCTCAGCCTCAGCCTCAGCCTTTTCCTCAGCATCAGCCTGCCTCAGCCTCAGCATCAGCCTGCCTCGGCCTCAGCCTCAGCCTGCTTCAGCCTCAGCCTCAGTCTGCCTTCAGCCTCGGCCTCAGCCTCAGCCAGCCTCAGCCTCAGCCTGCATCAGCCTCAGCCTCAGCCTCAGCCTGCCTCAGCCTCAGCCTGCCTCAGCGTCTGCCTCAGCCTGCCTCAGCCTCAGCCTCAGCCACAGCCAGCCTCAGCCTCAGCCTCAGCCTCAGCCTCAGCCTGCCTCAGGCTCAGCCTGCATCAGCCTCAGCCTCAGCCTGCCTCAGCCTCAGCCTCAGCCACAGCCTGCCTCAGCCTCAGCCTCAGCCTGCCTCAGCGTCTGCCTCAGCCTGCCTCATCCTCAGCCTCAGCCTCAGCCTCAGCCTCAGCCTGCCTCAGCCTGCCTCAGCCTCAGCCTGCCTCAGCCTCAGCCTGCCTCAGCCTCAGCCTCAGTCTGCTTCAGTATCAGCTTGCCTAAGCCTCAGCCTCAGCCTGCCTCAGCCTCAGCCTCAGCCTGCTTCAGCTTCAGCCTCAACCTTAGCCTCAGCCTCAACCTTTTCCTCAGCCTCAGCCTCAGCCTGCATCAGCCTCAGCCTCAGCCTCAGCCTGCCTCAGCATCAGCCTGCCTCAGCCTCAGCCTCAGCCTCAGCCTCAGCCTCAGCCTCACCTCAGCCTCAGCCTCAGCCTGCCTCAGCCTCAGCCTGCCTCAGCCTCAGCCTCAGCCTGCCTCAGCAGCAGCCTGCCTCAGCCTCAGTTGGCTACGGGCATTCAAAATGTGGCCCGGGAATGGAGTTCTGGGAACTCGAAGAGCACGAAGTGGCCTACAGTTGGCTCCGGGCATTCAAAATGTGGCCCGGGAATGGAGTTCTGGGAACTCGAAGAGCACGAAGTGGCCTACAGTTGGCTCCGGGCATTCAAAATGTGGCCCGGGAATGGAGTTCTGGGGACTCGAAGACCACGAAGTGGCCTACAGTTGGCTCCGGGCATTCAAAATGTGGCCCGGGAATGGAGTTCTGGGAAGTCGAAGAGCACGAAGTGGCCTACAGTTGGCTCCGGGCATTCAGAATGTGGCCCGGGAATGGAGTTCTGGGAGGTCGAAGAGCACGAAGTGTGTGACTGTTGGCTTAAAACGACTTCTGCGGCACCCTGTCCGGCACCCGCCCAGACCCCCCTGTGGAGTCATCTGCTGCTCTTTTTTAAGACCACTAGAAACCTATCAGTCTTCGCTGTTAGGTAAAAAATGCACGGGCGCTGAAAAATACGAGTTTGCAAGAAAGGGTGTTGTTTCCTTGGTTCTCCGTGTCCTGGTTTATCTGTGTCCTGGTCTCCGGGGGCCTGACATTCTGGAGACATCTGCACGCCGGAAATTTTAGTGATACTCACCGGAGATGTCCCGTAGATGTTCAAAGATTTCTGAGACTTTCGGGGACTTTTCGTAGATGTCCCCACGGCGGAGACTTTCCGGAGATGTTCCCCGAGATGTGCAAAACTCGAGGACTTCATTTTGGGAATGCCCAAATACTATTCGGAAGTTTCCCCCGAAATTCCCCCGATCTTTTTTTCACCCAGAGGGCCCCGGTCGCGTTTGCCGTATACGGCAAACGATCTAACCCTAACCCCACCCCATCCCGATCTAACCCTAACCCCACCCCATCCCGATCTAGCCCTACACCTCTAACCTACCCCCCTAGCCCAGTGGCCGATTTAACGCCATATGGGGCCACATGCTGTTCCCTTAGGGTTTCTAATGACCTGCCCTAACTGGAGTGGTATATATGATGGTGGGATTCAGAAACCCCAGCCCGGTGGGGATGGGATCAGTTAAACGGACTACCATGAAAACCTTGTCCGCCAGGGAGATGCCTCCGTGGAGAGCCGCGGCGCGCCGTGCTCGTCCTCGCATTCCTCCTCCTCCTCCTCCTCCTCCTCTTCCTCCTCCTCCTCCTCGCCATACGCCCGCGAACTTACTCCTAAAATCATGTCCACACCGCTGTGCGCGGCGGGCGTTGCGCAGAGCAGCGACGACGGGCGGCCGTGCCAGCCGGGTGCTGCCGAGGCCGGGGGGCGAGGGCAGTTCGGCCCGTCGGGGGCGGCCTCCTGCCTCCTCCTGCTCATCCTCCCTACACCTCCAGCTCCTCCTCCGCCTCCTCCTCTCCTCCTCCTCCTCCTCCTCCTCCTCCCCCTCCCCCTCCTTCGCTCCCTCCCTCCCTTCCTCCCTCCCTCCCTCCTCCCTCCTCTCTCCTCATCCATCCTCCCTGCCTCCTCCTCCTCCTCCTCTCTCCTCCTCCTGCCTCCTCCCAGATTGTGCTCGGTGGAGGTCCTTCTCCTATGTCCGCCACTGTGCTCGCGGCCGGCCCCTCTGCATGTCACTGGCATGACCCCGCTAGGCTCGGCATATCACCGGAACGGGCGAGGCCTCCCTCCTGCCATCCTGCTCGCAGCCCCATGACTTGCAGGCCTCAAAGCGGGACCAAGCCAGCAGGGGCCCCCGCTCCGCGTGCTTCCCGGGCCTGAAGATGCCGTACTGCACGCCGATGAAGTTGCTGTTGGCTCGCGCTGGCGTGCACTCGGGATGCGCCTGCAAGTAACGAGGGTCCTGGCCCCATCTACCCAGGCCCTTCGGGCACCTGAAATGTTGCTCCCTGTAGAGCCGGAAACGATGGTGAGGACCGCATAGAACTTCATGCCCCTGTGCACTTTCTTTCTGGATGCTTATCTCTGGGCACTCATCTTGCACAACTTTCTGCAGCCCGTGCATCATCGTGACAATACCCATCAATCCATTAGTAGGCCCATTCCCACTGTACCAATCCTTGACCGCCTCTACAACACGGTGCATCACCTTGCTGCCGCGCTCTGCCGCGAACATGGCATTCAAAATCTCACAGTCCTTAGAAAATGAACTCATAAACGATGTATCGTCATCTACCATGTCCGAGAACGGAACGCGGAACTGAATGTCCAAATCCGCGTAAAACCCACCCTCGAGCGCAACCACCGCCGCTCTACAAATATCGCCTCGGTAAGCCCCGTACTTCTCGTTGACGTACGCGGAATGCAGATCAGGTCCAAAATTGGAAGCAATGAAGTCACTGCAATCCGAATCATTAAGAAATCGAACCCGCAGATCAGGATTCAGCTGCAAAGTATTGCGAACGTTGTCTCGCACCTCCTGTGGTAGCTCAGCGAAAGACCCCTGCTTCGCCGTCATGACAAGCTGCAAGGGGATCCTGGGCTCATTGATGCCTAACTCTTCCTGCCTCAGAAAGGTACCATTAGAGGAGTGTTGGATGGCTGCCGCGCACTTTAGCAAATTCAGCAGCGCAAACACATATTTCTGCATGCTGCCCGCAAGGAGGTGCGCGATAGGTACACTGACGTAGCGTTATGGAACAAAATGGCGTGATCGTAAATGGTCCACTGCGGATTGGGAGCCGAAGTGGTCACGGATGGACTTGCATTGGGAATGAAGAGTTGGAAGGCCATGAAGACTCGCTTGTTCGGCATAATCGTGCTCTTCTGGGATCCGTCGCGGGGCTTTTTCAAGGCACCGGAACGTCAACTCAGTTCCCAAGACCTGCGACATGCGTCAACATTGCTTCAGTGACCCGTCTAAGGCTCTCCCTCGGATCTCTTGGGAATTCGTGGGGTTGGCGCGAGAGCCCACACATATCTCCCCTACACGCTCCCAAGACACCCCTCACAAGTACCAAAAAGGCCCAGAAGAGGTCACCACGAGGGTTTCCAGTGGGCCCACGATAATGTTTCTCCAACGTGGCCCTAAGAGGCCCCCGTCATGACCCGCATAGAGTCCCAATAATGATATATTCTTCGATCGGGGGGACGTGAGGCTCGAGCTGGGGAGACCCGAGCTCGCCAAACGGGACCGTCTGAGAAATCGAGAAACTCAATCTGGAATGTGACGCGATGTCCCGCTGCAAACAGTTCAGAAAAAAAAACTGTACCGTCAACTGGCATGCTGGACCAGTCTCAAAGGCGGCGGGCTGAGCGGCGACTGAGCGGGGGCAGACCCTCGTTCAGGCAATCTCGAATATCACGCTTCTCCGTCCGACTGGAAGCCGAGAGAGAAAGCCGACATCCCCCCGAACATGTTCCCACTTGCCCTGGCAGAAACCTGGACGTAGCTTGCACTAAGTGGCTTGCACCACATAGCCTATATCGCACACGAATGTATCTATACATATGTGTATACATACATGTGTATAAACACATCTAGATTTATGTGTGTGTTGCACCGCAACCACCTCCGTGCCTGATGCACGTTGAGGCGTGTAATAATGCTTCACTGTTGTCGGTTGAGGCTCTGTTAGTGTTCTAGGCCGACCCCATTCGAAACTCGCGTCGTTAGAACATCGCCCCCTCTCCCCGAGACCAGTGTGGAGCAATTTCCCATAAGACAATATTGCTTAGACAAGCGCTGTTCACCAAGAGCGGCTCTCCACCCGATGGCGGTAATCCGCCGGCCCCCTTGTGGGGCCACCAGGCTGTAGGCGCGAGGTTCGCAGTTTCCTGTACCAGTCGTAGGTTGTAGTTTCCAGTGTTACAGTTCTGCTTCTTGCTCGTTACTGTAACTAATTGATTGACCGCGCGAGGGGGGGAGGCCCAAACGGGATTTTTAGCACCCCCTGGGCGCGTTGTCTGAATTGCTAGGAGGATTCGAAATCGACACCCCTCACGCAGATCCGCGGGGTCAGGGTCCAAAAACACAGGGGATTTGCCACATTTCTGAAATTCGGTGCCACCCCTCACGCAGATCCGCGGGGTCAGGGTCCAAAAAACACAAGGGATTTGCCACATTTCTGAAATTCGGTGCCACCCCTCACGCAGATCCGCGGGGTCAGGGTCAAAAAAACACAGGGGATTTGCCACATTTCTGAAATTCGGTGCCACCCCTCACGCAGATCCGCGGGGTCAGGGTCCAAAAACACAAAGAATTTGCCACATTTCTGAATCTTGCCCTGTGAGCCGCCGCTGCTTGCGCCGCGGCCGCATCGAGCACCGAGAGCGGCCCTCAGAGAGAGCGGGGGCCGCGGCCGGGCCAAGGGGGTCCCGCCAAGATGGCCCGCTGGATGATGTTGAGGGCCCAGGGGTGGGGGGGTCAGACCCTGAACTGGGGCCTTGCTTAGGCCTCGACCCCCACCCCAGGGGCTCAATTCGGCCTGGAGCCCATCCGTCGGCCCCTCCCGCGCCTTCCGCACTCACTGGTGGGCGCGATGGCGGAGGTCGAACGAAGCCCACCACCTCGCGAAACGGCGCCCGCAGCCGCAGCCCGCCAGCTGCGCCCGCCCCGCAGGTGCTGCCGCCTGCCGCATCTCATGCTCCCCTCGCCCCGTGGACCCTGGGGCTGCGGTGGTTGCTTCCATTCCTGCGCCTGGCTCCCTGGGGGCCACCCTCTCGTGCCGCTGCTGCCTCTGCCGCTGGTGGGTCCAGCTGTGGAGCGAGCGTCGACAAGGGCGCAGGCGAGCGACGCTGGGGCCGCCGCTGCCCCTGCCGCCCCTCGCGCGTTCTCAGGCAGAGCTGGAGACCACGTGATTCAGAGTCTGCATGGCTACCGGCTGTGCCGCAGATGTCTCCTGTACGCTTGTGAGGCGTTTAGGTCGGTCCGAGGTTCTGGAGGCGAGTGCCTTGGGACAGCTAGGGGCCCTGCGGGAAAGGAGCGTGCTCGGAGAGCGGATCGAATTCGTTCGGGTCGTCATCCAAACAAGGACGATAATCTCCCTTAGTAGCTGCGACCCCGCGCCGCCGCTCCCTTGGGCGTGCTCGAAAGGCCGACTGCTCCGCCGCCTTTGAAGAGTATTCTGCATAATCCGCTGGGTGGGATGCTGTGACATAATCGTGCTTCCGCAGTCCAACAGCTTGCGCAGCGCAAGCGGAGGCCAGGTGCAAACACACACACACACACACACTTGAAATATTGGTTAAAGATAGGTAAAGAGCTGCCGACGTCTGGGCCGTTGATGGTGGTGGGCAAGTGTTCCGTCGTACGCATGGGTTTCAGCTCCCCCGTGTCCTTCCCCCATGTTCTTCCCTTCTTCCTCCTGCCCTCTTCCGATCGCTCCCCCGGCCCCCACCTCCCTGCCGGCGCACAGCCCAACGCGTGCGCGCGCCATCCCAGACGAGAAGCCGGAGCAGGAGCAAAAGCAACAGCAACGGCAAGTATCAACCTGAAAAAGCATATTGCCCCACCCCCTGAGATTTGCGCCGTCTTCCGGATGGCCCCGTCTTCTTGAGGGACCTTCGCCTTGAGCGCCCCTACGTTTAGGTGCCAGCTCCTAGCCTACCCCGGGACACCCGCCGTCTGTACACAGAGGTACGTTTGCACGCCGACGCTTGGCGGTCTTCGTTGGCCAGTGCACCAAGCGTCGACCACTGGCCCCCTCCGACACGAATAAGTCCCTACACCTACTTACCAGCCCCCCAAGACAACCCCGAAGATGTTAAAACGCTTTGCTTTTGCTTCTCCACCTCGGCGACGAACTTGAAGTCCAGGTAAAGATTTGGTAAAGATTTGGTAAATGTTGTTATTTTCCTTCTTCATGTCCACGCCGGCGACGAACTTCTTTTTGGTAAAGATTCGGTAACGGCTCTGTAGAGGCTACTGGTAGAGGCTGTGGGTGAAGACAAATGGTAGAGGCTGTGGGCAAAGAAAAATGGTAGAGGCGATGGATAAAGGCAAGTTGGTGAAAGATGCAACACGATGCAACACGATGCAATGCAACACACGATGCAATGCAACACACTGGAAGCGAAAGATGCAAAGGAGCTAACCTACTCATGGCTTCGCAGGAGAGAACATGCTATGTTAACGAACTTGTCCTCCTTCATCCCCTGCTTATCGACAACTACAGTGCTTCCCCCGTCATTTATCCCACATGGTGGGATTGTGCATTCTCTATGCTACACTGCTTCCGGGGGTCACCCCTGCGACTCGATGCAATGCAACCCACTGGAAGCGCAAAATGCACTAGAGCGAATAGGGACAACAAATCCTGCCCCCCTCACACAGATGGCCCGGATCAGGGGCACAAAACACTAGCACCTACCACAAGCCTCTCCGTCTGTAGAGTAACGGTCTGGACGGGTTTGGACACTCTCCCCTCCCTCCTCTCTTTCCCCTACTGGCGTCCAGGATCAGATCACGAGTCTCAATGAACTCTGCGGCGCTGCGCTCACACCGCCATCCTCGGGTCAGCACCCCCCTTGGATACAGGGGTCCCACGACACACACACACACACACACAAACACTGGAACACACACACGAACACACGTGAATCGTGCCAGAGGCACGCTGGCTTGGTCGAGGCGTTGACCTTGCCCCAGATGATTTGCCCGACGCTTTCCCCGACTCTGCTGTCACATCGTGGGTCCACAAGCCCCTGCCCCCCCCGGGCCTCCCCTCCCCCCTCCCCCTCCCCTAATTCCTTCCCGTCTCCTCCGTCCCTCCCCCCACCCCCGCTCCTTCTCATTTTCTCCCTCCCCCACTCCTCCTCCTTGTCCTGGTCCTTGTTTTTCCCTGAGCTTCTTACTGGCAGCCGGACTCTGTCACGATCTTCTCTCCGAGGGGTTCTGCTCCTGGACCTTTTCTTTCGCTCATCCTCGCTGTAGCCGCGCTTACCTGTCTCGCGGCTTCCCTTGCGCTTCTCCTTGGACCTCTCGCGGGCACTGCGGGACCTCCGTGCACCGGACCGCCTACTGTGCCGCTCTTCTGGCTTCCTGCTTCCGACGCTCCGGCCCCGTCCACGGCTGTCTCCTTCCTTTGCCGCGCCCCCTGCCCTCCCTTGGCCACCATGCTGCTCATGAGGAGGACGGCTGGTCCTCGGGTCTCCTGGCCACCCCGCAGCCCAGCCTTTGCCATAGCCCGGGGCGTCAGCACTCCCTTTCCCGCCGGCGCCAGCTGCTCCTCCGCCCGCTCGGTCCTGAGACCATCCCTTCTGCGCTGCTTTGCTCGCCTGGTCTGCATGCTGGTAGAAGCCCGATCCGTGGGCGCCTTTTCCTCCTGGGGGGCCTTTCTGTGTTCCATGGCGACCTTTCGGGGCCCCGGGCCAAGCGAACCCTGGAGGCATGTCTGGGGGTGGCCACGAAAACTGGGCGTACTGCGACGGCCACGCCATCGTGTCGAGTTGAACGCTCGAGCAAGAACGCCTATGGGAACCAAGCCCGAACCCGAAGCTTATCGCCTTCCAAGCCTTGCCCTGTTCCGTCCCGCCCGGCTATCCCCGCGCCTTTCTTCGTCGAGAAGATCCCTGCCCATGCCTCTCCGCTTGGGGAGAGAAAAACCCCCGCCCCTGTCTGCGTCCGCGAAGGCCGAGGGGGGGAGAGAGAGGACAGAGGGGAAGGAAGGGAACAGGAGCGCAGGAAGCGGGAGAGGATGGTGGACACCCTGCCCTACACCCTACACCCAAACTCGCCCCTCAACGACGTGCGTCCATACCCAGACGTCGTATTGCAGGGACACCGCGGCGTGGACGCACAGGCCCCCAGAAAGGCTCGTAGAGGGTACGGCGGTAAAGATTGCGAGGTCAAAGGTTCAGGAAAAGGTTCGGCCGCCGCTGGCGGTTCTTGGGCATTCGCGGGTTTTGCGAAATGAATGCCCACCCCCTCGCGAGCGAGGGGGCACACACACTTGAAATATTGGTTAAAGATAGGTAAAGAACTGCCGACGTCTGGGCCGTTGATGGTGGTGGGCAAGTGTTCCGTCGTACGCATGGGTCTCAGCTCCCCCGTGTCCTTCCCCCATGTTCTTCCCTTCTTCCTCCTGCCCTCTTCCGATCGCTCCCCCGGCCCCCACCTCCCTGCTGGCGCACAGCCCAACGCGTGCGCGCGCCATCCCAGACGAGAAGCCGGAGCAGGAGCAAAAACAACAGCAACGGCAAGTATCAACCTGAAAAAGCATATTGCCCCACCCCCTGAGATTTGCGCCGTCTTCCGGATGGCCCCGTCTTCTTGAGGGACCTTCGCCTTGAGTGCCCCTACGTTTAGGTGCCAGCTCCTAGCCTACCCCGGGACACCCGCCGTCTGTACACAGAGGTACGTTTGCACGCCGACGCTTGGCGGTCTTCGTTGGCCAGTGCACCAAGCGTCGACCACTGGCCCCCTCCGACACGAATTAGTCCCTACACCTACTTACCAGCCCCCCAAGACAACCCCGAAGATGTTAAAACGCTTTGCTTTTGCTTCTCCACCTCGGCGACGAACTTGAAGTCCAGGTAAAGATTTGGTAAAGATTTGGTAAAGGTTGTTCTTTTTCCTTCTTCATGTCCACGCCGGCGACGAACTTCTTTTGGTAAAGATTCGGTAAAGGCTCTGTAGAGGCTACTGGTAGAGGCTGTGGGTAAAGACGAATGGTAGAGGCTGTGGGCAAAGACAAATGGTAGAGGCGATGGATAAAGGCAAGTTGGTGAAAGATGCAACACGATGCAACACGATGCAATGCAACACACGATGCAATGCAACACACTGGAAGCGAAAGATGCAAAGGAGCTAACCTACTCATGGCTTCGCAGGAGAGAACATGCTATGTTAACGAACTTGTCCCCCTTCATCCCCTGCTTATCGACAGCTACAGTGCTTCCCCCGTCATTTATCCCACATGGTGCATTCTCTATGCTACACTGCTTCCGGGGGTCACCCCTGCGACTCGATGCAATGCAACCCACTGGAAGCGCAAGATGCACTAGAGCGAATAGGGACAACAAATCCTGCCCCCCCTCACACAGATGGCCCGGATCAGGGGCACAAAACACTAGCACCTACCACAAGCCTCTCCGTCTGTAGAGTAACGGTCTGGACGGGTTTGGACACTCTCCCCTCCCTCCTCTCTTTCCCCTACTGGCGTCCAGGATCAGATCACGAGTCTCAATGAAATCTGCGGCGCTGCGCTCACACCGCCATCCTCGGGTCAGCACCCCCCTTGGATACAGGGGTCCCACGACACACACACACACACACACACACACGCACACGCACAATCCACACACACACACACACACATTCGCACGCACGCACGCACGCACGCACGCACGCACGCACGCACGCACACACACATACACACATACACACGCACACACACACACACTCACACACACACACACGCACACACACACACACACACTCACACACACACACGCACACACACACACACACACACACACGCACCCACGCATAAACGGCGTGCGGAGCGCGCCCCGGGGGGCGGCGCCGGCGGCTCCGCCAGGCGTGGCGGGGAGGAGGGCTCAACGCCAATCCAAGAAATCCGCGCAGGCCTCCGGATATTTGCTTGCTGGTCCAGTGTCTGCGGTCGGGAGCTTTGGGACAGCGTGTCGCTGCGGCGGCCCTGGCGACACGCGATGTCGTGCAGGCGGCTAGCGTGTCGCTCCGCTCCGAGGGGCGGAGGGATGGGAAAAGCTCGGAACGTGGACGCTTGGGGACTGAGACGTGGATAGCGCGACGCGCCGACGCGTGGTGGGCCAGGACCGGCGTCGCGACACGCTATCTAAGGGTTCCTGATCGTATGCAGTTCTCGCGTGTCTTCGATTCTCGCAGGCCCGCCTTCCCTTTCGCGGGCCCCCGCGGCGCCTGCGCGGGCCTCCGCGTGCGCAGTCGCCCCCGCCACTGCCTTCTGCTGGCATCCGCGGGCCTTCCGCTGAGGGTGGTGGTGGCCAGCCCCCTGCCGGACCGCCCCGCATGTGCTCCCCGGTGCCCACGGCGATTGAAGGTATGAGCTGCCGCCGTGGGGCGCGGGAGGGCGGCAGAGCAGGGCAATGGCACGCTGCTCTGCGCTCCTTGTCCTCTTCGTCGGCCTCCTCTCCTCCTCCTCCTCCTCCTCCTCCTCCTCCTCCTCCTCCTCCTCCTCCTGTTCCTCACTCCTCCTCCTCCTCCTCCTCCTCCTCCTCCTCCTCCTCCTCCTCCTCTTTCTCCTCCTCCTCCTCCTGTTTCTTCTCCTCCTCCTCCTCCTCCTCCTCCTCCTCCTCCTCCTCCTTATCCCTCCTCCTCCTTCTCCTGCTCCTCGGCCGGGGGCACCCGAGTGGGCCCCCACCCCCGTCGCACAGGGGGACCCCGAGGCCTAAGGTCTCGCCGCCACCACAACCCTGGCCAGTCCCTTGTTAGGACCGACCCCGGGGCACTCCAGCCGAGGCGGCGCACCTGCTGTCGGGGACGCCTCGGCAAGTCTTACGGCGCAGAGTCGGAGGGAGGAGGTGGAGGAGGAGGAGGAGGAGGAGGGACGAGGAGGAGGAAGAGGAGGAGGAGGAGGAGGTGGAGGAGGAGGGAGAGAACCGGAAGGCGGAGGAGACGAACGCACGGTCGGGGACCCTGCGCCACCGCAACCCCCCATTAGACGCGCGTGCTCCCGCAGGAGGCAAGGAGCGGGAAAGGAGAGGGGAGGGGGAGGGGAAGAGGAGAGAGCCAAGAAAGCTCCTCCTCTCCTCATTCTCTCTCCTGCACCCCTTCTCTCCTCCTCCCCCTCCTTTTCCCTTCCCTCCTCGTTTTCCTCACCCCCCTCTTCCTCTCCTCCTCTTCTTCCTCCTCCTCCTCCTCCTCCCTCTCCTCCTCCTCCATTTGTGCGCCCCGTCGCACCGCCAGCGGTTCTGAAACGAAAGTTCGCGCATGACCACGTCGTAGTCCCTGGCGGCAAACACTAACAAGTACAAAGGAAGCACCCAATAATCCTTTCTCCGTTCCTGCGTCTGCGTCGGCGCGTCTGTTCCTGACTTGTGCGCCTCGGGCCGCCTGGATCACTGCTGCTCCAGAAGAAGAAACGATGCACTCTATCAAATTGAAACCAAGTAGTCGCCCAGCAGGCTTGTGCGTGGAATGGGGCGGACAAGGATGATGAGAAATATGTCTACGTGATGTCTAGGACGAAAATGCATCGTGACCGTCACGTAGATACCCCCCTCTACCTTCTCCATGCCACTCTTCTGTCGTCCCCTTGCATCCCGCTGCAGCCAGTGTACACGACCCTCGTATCCCTGACGCTGTGGCCATGTTTGTTCCCTCCTGCAACATATCCCTCCACATCGTTCGTCTTCCTCATGCTCTTTACCCTGCTCCGAAAACCTCTCATCTTTCTTGTCCTCCATCTCCTCTTCAGCTCCTCCTGTTCCCTGCTCCTGCAGACGTCGTCTTCCATCTGATCTCCCTGCTTCTCCTACCATTCCTCCTCCTCCTCCTTCTCCTCCTCCTCCCTCCATCTGTTCCCGTTTCTCCTTGGTCCCGCCCTCGTTCGTAGAGTCCCTCTTCTCTGCCCCTGCGCCCGGGAGGATGCGGGGAGAAGGATTATGATGAGGAGGAAGAGGAGAAGGATGAGAAACTCCACTTCCCCGTCCCCTTCCAATCCCACGGATCGTTCCTCCTCCTCCTTCATCTCCTTCGACTCCATCTTGTTTGCTTTTCCTATGTTTCTCCCCCCGACCCGCCCCAACCAATATATGCTTACCCTTATCGCCCCAATAATCCAAACTACTCTGCGCCCGCTTCTTCCGCTGCTGCCATTCGTCATACAATCACGCCCTTCAGATATCCGCAACGCCATCGTCAAGGTTCAATTGCAACTTTCTGTGCTTGTGAGGGTAGCAGCAGGCCCCTCTCGCTTTGATCGGCGCGTCCATCTGGCTACCACCGCATCGCCATGCTCACCCCCAGTCCGATTACCGAGTGGGCGAGAAGGAAGATTGGCACAGTGGCTTTCAACCGTCCGTATCAACTTGGACGAGACCCCAAGTCAGTTTGACCAACCTGTGCAAAGAAGCGCAATGCTCCAGTCGAGGGGGGGGGGGAGGGATGGATCTGGACAGAAAGAAGAGAAGGAAAGGGAGGGAGGGGGAAGGGACGGGTGTGCAGGGCAGGGAAGGGAGGAAAAGGGGAAGCTGCGTATCCCTGCCTCGGAAGTTCTTGGATGAACCGCGCCCTCCATACCCTCCTTCTCCCTCTCGCATCCTCTATGCCGCACTGCACGCAGCGGGTGGAAGCACCTGTCGGTCTTGAGCAACTGGCCCTCGATCAACCTGCGCAGGATCAGGTCGACCGTCTGATAGCGCCCCGATTGGCCTGCGGTGGGCCATTCTCAATGTATGTATAATCCACAGACATAATGCAACATTCTTCGGGAAAACTACTCCTCAGCTGGCGAGAGCCGCATGGATGAATGGTATAGCCACCCCTGTTGGGACCCTGTAGCCCTGCCGGGGGCGCAAAGAGGCTGACTCAAATCCGCGGAGGAAGGAGGAGGGGGGGGAGAAGGAGGAGGAGGACGAGGAGGAAGGGGAAGAGGAGGAGGAGGAGGAAGACGAGGAAGACTCCGAAGGAATGCTATGGATTTCCCAAAAGAACCTTACGGATTTCCAAAGCACTCCCATGGATTTCCAAAGGGATCCAATTGATTTCCATAGGATTCGTACAATTCCGATGAGATCCAATTGATTTCCCATGGAACCCCATGAATGTCCTAAGGGATTCTGCGGGGTTCCAAAGGAGTCCGATGGGTGTCCGAAGGAATCTGTTAGATGTCCTAGGGATTCCGACGGATTGCTCAAAGATTCGCACACATTCCTGAAATAGTCCTATTACTTTCCTAAAGAATCCGATGGATGCCTTAAAGCATCCTATCGATTCCCCCCCCCCCCCCCCCAAGAAACTGCTGCATTTGCGGCGGATTCCTATGGAGGTACTACGGAATCCTGTGGATGCCCCAAGGATCCCCATCGATGTCAAAAGGAATCTTCTGGATGTCATACGGAATCCTATGGATGGCCTTAGGCATCCCATGGGTGTCCTAAGGAATCAGATGCATTCCCTGAGGAGCTCGATGGATGTACTAAGGAACCCACTTGATTTCGCAAATGTCCCTATACATGTTCAAAGGAATGCCAATGGATTTCCTGCGGAACCTTGTGGATGTCCAAAGGAGACCTGTAAACTCCCAAAATAGTTCGATGGAATTCTGGAGGAATCCGATGGACTTCATAAGGCATACCATGGGTTGCTGAAGAAATTGTATGGGTGTGTGAAGGATTCCTAAAGATTGTCCAGCAGAGCTCTGTGGAATAATCAATGGATGTCCAAAGGATTTCTATTGATGTCCTAAGGATGCTGACACATTCCCTACGGACTCCTGCAATTTTCCTAAAGAACCCTATGGGTGTCCGAAGTAAACCCAATGGATTTCAAAAGGAACCCTATGGATGTCCAAAGGGATCCGATAAATGCCCCAAGGATTCCTATGGATTTCCGAAAGATGCCAATACATGTCCGAGGACTTCCCACGAATCCATCGAATCCCCAAATGAATCGAATTGGTTTCATAAGGAGCCCGGTGCATGTCCTGAGGAACCTCATGGACGTTCTGAGGATCCCCATGGATGTCCTAAGGATTCCAAAAACACATCCAAAGGAAACGTAAGGATATCCAAAAGAACCCTATGATTTGTTCAATGAATCCGATGGATGTCTTAACGAACCCAATGGATGTTCGAAATATTCCAATCGATGTCCTAAGGCATCCTATGTATTTTCCCAGATATCGATGGGTTCCCTGAGGGACCCGATAGGTTTTCTCTGGAAATCAATTGGTGTTGTCGGGACGTCGATGGATGTATTTTAGGAATCCGATGGATTGCCTAAGGGTTCCTATGGAGATCCTACGGCACCCCATGGATTTCGTAAGGGATCACCCCTCCTTATTTCCCTTGCGCGCCCAGCCCGAACGTTTGTATCTCAATTGATTGTGTTGGTTCCATCCCTGTCTCCTTGTCTGTGTTGTATATATATATATATGTATGTATGCATATATGCATTTATTAAAGGAAACACGCAAACGAACCGCCGTGGACACATCCAACACATGTGCCATTAAAAATGGCAAACAAGAGATCGATACCCCAATTTTTAATTTAAACAAGAAGGTTCACAATCCAAGTTTTTTGTGGACAACTTGTCCTGGGGTGGGTTCCTCCTCCTCCTCCTCCTCCTCCTCCGCCTCCTCCTCCTCCTCCTCCTCCTCCTCCTCCTCCCCGTGCTTATCCTATGGATCTCCGTGCGAAAATCGAATATACGGCCGGCGGAATCATATGAATTGCCCAGGGATCCTACGGAATTCCGACGCAACCCCGCGGATGTCTCAAGGAATCCCATGGGTGCCCTAACGAAACCAATCGGTTCACCAAGAATTTCGATTGACTTGCATAAGGAGTCCGATGGATTCCCTAAGGCAGCATATGAATGTTTCACGGAACCCTATGTTTTCCAGGGGAACCCGATGGATTTCCCAAACAGATCCCGATGGAATTCCCAAGGAACCCTACGCACGTCGCAAGGATACCTGTGGATATCCTAAGGCAGCCTATGGATTGCCTGAGGAACCGTATGGATTTCCAACGGAATCCGAATGGTTCCATCCGACATCCGATGGACTTCCTGCGGGTTCCTATGGATGTTTCGAAGCATCTTGTGTATTGTTTCGACGATGCCGATGGGTTTCCTATGGCATCCTTAGGATTTGTTGTGGAATCCAATGGATTGCCTGAAGCATCCTATGAACTCCCTTTGGAATCCTATGGGCTCTCTAATGGGTCCAACGGATTTCCGATGGAATCCTCGAGCCCCACAAGTCACGGACGAGCAGACCTACAAGTTCCCCAAGCTGGCCAACATTGACTGGTGCACGTGCAGGTCCAGGCCTCCAAACTTGAATCCGAATAGACGGGGTCGGAGGATCGCGCCGCATTGCCGACGCATCGCCGACGCGGCTCGATGTGGAGCCCGTCTCTCTCCGCGCTGACGTCGCCGATGCGTCGCCGACGTCGCCGATGCATGGCCGACGCATGGCCGATGCATCGGCGATGCTGCGCGATCTTCCGGCCGGATCTGACTGGAACTCCATCTAGGAGGCCTCTGGCAGGGCACCTCGGCGCACCGAGCTCGCCAAGCAGTGCGCGATCCTGAACTTCGAGCAGATCAGGAAGGGCGACGCCCTCAAGCTGGGCACAGTGAGCGCGCTGCTCGGCGAGGTCGACGAGCGCGTGGGCGTCCCCGAGAGAGTTCTGGCGATCGAGCCCACTGCGGCCGTCGCCCGGGCTCGAGCGGGCCAGGGCGAGGACGAGCCCGCCGCCCAGCAGCCCGAGGAACAGAAGCGCTGGGCCGAGAGAGTCGAGAAGGCCGAGCGCCTGCTGATTGCGGTGCAGTCCGAGGCCCCCGCGCACTACACCTACCTCAAGGTGTCCAAGCGGGGAGCGGACACGGCCGCCGAGCACCGCGACGCCCTCGAGCAGCCGCCCGAGAACGCCAAGCAGGCCACCACGATGATCCTCCGAAAGCTCGGCGCCATCGGCCCTGCCGAAGAATGCCCTGCGAGCAGCAACAACATGTGCCAAGCGGATGGCTGGACTTGCGGCCTCTGGGCGACGAGGTGGGTGGAGCGCGCCTTGCGCGAGATCCGGGGCGAGGGCCGCCAGCCGCCCATCGGCGCCGCCCAGGCGCGGGCCCGAGGCAACGAGTGCATCCAGAAACTGCAGGGCGCGAGCGACAACCGCTCCGCCACGGCCAGGGCCATGGCCTAGGCCAGGGGCAGGGGCAAGGCCAAGCCGCCGAGTGACCCGACAGCGCCGGAGCCCAAGTACGCTCAGCCTCAAGGAGGCACAGGCTGCAGCGCTAGCGTGCGCGAAGTGCCTCCCGAGCAAGGACGGCCCCAAAGGATGCCGAGCCTGCGCGGGCGAGCAATTTGAGCACGTGCGCAAAAGAATTCTCCTGGCGAAAGCCGTCAAGGACCTCGAGCTCTCAGGCAAGCTCTAGAAACCTACTCTCGCCGAGCACCAAGAGCCGCAAGAACGAGGAATCATCGTCTTCATCATGTTCATCCTCATCGTCCTCATCTTCAGTACCGTCAAGAATCCCAATCGATTTCAATGGCAACCCAATGGAATTCAAAGGAATCCGATGGGTGCTCTAAGGGCTCTCATGGCTTTCTTAAGGGATCCCATTGATTACCTTTGGATTCCTGTGGGTGTCCTAAGCAGTCCTATTGATTTCCGGAGGATGCCGATGGTTCCCCGGAGGGATCCTATGGATTTCCAAAGGAAAACAACATAGCTCCATGGGACTTCCATGGATGCCCTGAGGAATCCTATGGATGTCCTTGGGATTTCTACAACTATTCTAAGGAATCCCATGGACTTTCTGAAGAACCCGATGGATTGACAAAGGGATCGCATGGCTTGCCTAAGGAAGCCAATGGGTTTCCTTATGGGTTTCCTATGGGTCATTGAGAAACCCTATGGATTTCCGAAGGCAGTTTATTAATATCCACTGGGTTCCAATAGATTCCCTTCGGATTCCGATGGGTATCTTCAGGAGTCCTCCGGATGTCCATAAGATTCGCATGGATCTCCCAAGGAATCTTATGCATTGCCAACGGAACCCAATGGATTCCGTAAGGAATCCTATGGATAGCCAAGGGAACCTATAGATGTCCATTGGGTGCCCATGGATTCCTGCAGGAATCCTATGGAATTCCGAAGGACTCCACTACATGCACTCAGGATTCCGATGGATATCCTGAGGGAGCCTATGGATTGAACTCACGTGCCGAACTTGGAGTTGTCAACTCCACTGCTCGCGCAAAACATCCCACCCAACCACCCGCAACTTGGTTTGCAAAATCTCTTAAGACCGTGACGGTGGGTACCAGATGGCACTTGGCAACGACAGCGACGCCCACGACGACAGCGACAACGACGACGACGACGCCGCCGACAACGACTACGACGGCACCGACGACGTCTCCAACGACTTCGACGACGCCGACAACGGCGACGACGACGACGCCGACGACGACGCCGACGACGACGGCGCCGACGCCGACGACGACGACGATGACAACGACAACGACGATGACGACGCCGACGACGACGACAACGACGACACCGACGACGACGACGACGACGTCAACGACGCCGACGACGACGACGACGGCGGCAGCGACGACGACGACGCCGACGTCGACGACGACGAACACGACGATGCCGACGCCGACGCCGACGACGACGTCGCCAACG